TTTATGCAATAAAAAAAAGAAGGGATTCACACCTCGTCGTGCCACCTCCCGTCGGCGAGCCCGCCGCCTCCCTCCGGCCAGCCCGGCGCTGCGTCTCCTCTGTGAACCCGCCGTGGCACCGCCTGCCGCCACCTAGTCCCGGCGAGCCCGCCGCCTCCCCTCCCGCCAGATCTGGCGGAAGGGAGGCGTCGCCCGCCGCTGCCGCCTCCCGCCGCCGCAACTGCAGCCTCCCTCCTACCGCCGCAACTGTAGCCTCTCCTCCCACCCTTGCCGAGCACCTACCGGGCCGATGCCGTCGCCGCCGCCCTTCCTCCCGCCGGATCTGGCGGAGGGAGGCGCCTCCGGGCCGCCGCCGCTCCTTCCGCCGCGCACCGCCGAAGCCGCCGACGCCGCCCCTCCAGCCGCCGTGAGCGAGAATTATAGGGGAGAGAGAGCGGAGAGAACGGGAGTGCTGGCTCCTCGACACTATCTCCTCGATCTTATCTCGATGCTAGTGGTGGGGCCCGCCGTCTCAGCTCATCCCGGCTCGGCTCAATTAGCTGGTGCCGCATCTATAACAAGTCATAGGTGCCGGTTTTTAATATTAAAGGTGTCGGTTTTTAATATTAAAGGTGCCGGTTTTTTTAAAAAAACCAACCCAAATGTAATAGGTACCGGTTTTTATTTAGAACCGACACCTATAATTACTAAAAGGTGTCCGTTTTTACGATTTCAGCCCGCACTATTGGAACCTATAGTGGCGACACATATTTGATATTTTGTAGTAGTGCTTCTATAATCCAAAAATAAGTCCACCATCTGCCTGGCACACTATGGGGTATAGGTATGGCATACAGGTCAGCCCCCGTTTGATTTTTGGTTCCTATAGGTATGTCCGTTACGCGTGGTGACAGTTTGGCCACATGCCAATCGTCACCAATTTGAGAAAATAACTTTTCATAAAAATATAATTGTGGCCTCTCACATGCAATCACATGTCATCCCCTTATATCTTCTTCTTCCTCACTCTCCCTCCTCTTCTCTCTCATGCCACCGCCTCATCATGCAACCTGCTCGCCTGTGCTTGTTGTGGAAGAAAAGGAACCTCCACGAGTGCGCCTGGCCACCGTCGAGCTCTTCACGCGACCATCCTCCACGAGCTAGCCAGCTCCACTCATCACTCGTGTCCTTTATGAACTCGATGGCAGCAGCCCACTCGCTAGCACAAGCCAATATATCAAGCTCCTAACCTGATGAGGAACACGCATGCCCACGTGCATTGAGCAGGCTAGAAAGAAACAAACGGTCCAGAGCACATATTTGTTGAATAGTATAGGGAGATAGGATACTATGAATATTGGAGATGTTGTATCTGTTGTTTTTATAAGCACATAATGATTTAATTTATTCCATAAATAAATCATAACATTGCAGATGTAAACTAGCATCAACACATCATTAGATTTACATATGTAAACTAATCAGTAAAATATGAACAAATCAAATATGCGCAACATGTTGAACACGTACCGAGGGTTCCGGATGACCGCTGCCATGCCATGCGAGGCAAGGCGAGCACGTGTGTGTTCCCCCTCTTCTCTCCACCTCACATGCTTAAAGTGGTAAGGAGGGCATCCTCCCTTTTAAGGAGGTCCCCTGTCTAGAATGAGTAAGGAGGTTCTAAACTCACCATGCATGCCATCCCATGAGGTGGGCTTTTGTGATTTTCTAAAGAATTAATCTTCGAGTGGGCTAAGGCCCATCTATTAATTCCAACAGTATTGAGCCTCCGAAGCCAGTATATATAGAAGTACATATGGAGTAGATAAGGAAGGATTACAAATATGGAAGAAATCTACTACAGATGAATCATATCCTAATATGACTCTACCATACACTCTAACAATATTCACATCAAACAGTTCGAATGGCTAGAAAATAGGCTCAAAGCGGCGACCATGCATGTCTTCTTAGACTACCGCTGCCATGGAAGGAGGGTAGCGGGATCTAGCTACAACGAGGACGTAAGGAGATCAAGCGGAGAGAGATGGGATACAAATGGTTGTGTGCAGTGCTAAAGAGGGAAGGATGCCGACGGAGACGACGAGCTCTGCGCTTAGCTCACCGGTGGCCCTCTCCTCCACGTGGCTATCCGATCGGGTCCTACCCCCAACAGGGACGGTAGCGAGGCAGCCAAGCGAGTAGGCCCATTATTTATTTATAATTTTAGAGCTGATTGTATATCACATGGAACGGAAATCACTTTGGAGTGAATCAGGGGTATAATTTGTCCAGTTAAAAAAGTTTGGGGGTATGAAATATCTTGTATTAGACTTTAGGGGTATAAATCGAACTACGCAAAGGTTAGGGAGGTAATTTGGATTTTTTTTTCCCCACCACAATTCCATGAGCCCTGCTGCAAAAGAAAAAAAATAAAGTGGGACCTGCCATAATATTTGTTGATTTCGTTCTTGCTTGCCAGTGATAAGTGATCCCCCAACTCCACCATCTCCAGAGATGCCATTGTCGTCCTAGTCGACCACCGTAGTCTTTAGCACCCAAAGAAGGGATCCATCGCGTTATGCCACCCATGCAATAGTTGATGCCCCCCGTATGCCCAGTAGCCTGCTAGTGGATTGGGTGGGAATGGGTTTATTGGATTGGATTTCCTCTTGGATTGTGTTTGGATGGTTTGTAATGGGCTGAGGAAATGTGGGTTGGTGTGGTTTGGATTTGGTCGCCGTTTTTCTGGACTAGAAATGGTTTCAATCCATGGGTTTCTATTGGATGGCAGAATGGGCACAACCCAAAATGGTTGCCGTGCATCGTCAATCCCCAATTCCTCTTCTCCTCGACAGCCAAGTCAACACGACAAATCGCTCGATGCACCGCCGCTGTGCTTGCCAATGCTTTCCTCGCTGCCGTGGCTCGCCGGCGAGACGCGCAATCTGGGGCAAGCACATGTGGTGGCGAGGTGAGGGCGATGGAGCGTGCGCGGGGGGCGTGGAAGGAGGTGGAGCTCCTGGACGAGCGGCGTGACTAGCGGTCACTGCTGCACCGACGGTCCAGCCACCGCAGCTACCTTTTGCTCCGCCTCTTCCGCGCCGGCAGGCAGCCGTTGCCATCGGTGACGATGGCGCCATGGAGTTTTGCTTGGAGGTAATTGTGGCACCATGGATTAGCCTATGCCGCGCGAGGAAGACGATTGGTTCGTCAAGGTCAGCATCCTTGTTGATGGTCAATGGATTGAAATGGGTTTGAGTGGTTTGGAAAGGTGGATTGAATCCATATGAGGGGAATGGATTGGCTTGGTTTGGACTGAGGTAGAAAATGGGTTGGAATATTGGTTTGGGTTCTAAAAGTTGATTTGTGGACTGGATTGGTTTGGGCTACTTTAACTGGTTGTCATGGTTTGGACTGGGAATGGTGCGGGTTTTGATCCATTGGCAGGCTTTATTGCTCACATCCCATCACCATCGATGAGTTGCTGCCATTTCGCCAACCTCCTATTCAAGCTTCCCCGCGTCACTCTCCTCCATCTAGGAGTTGATTCTTGGATGCTCCGACACAATTGATTTTTTGGATCAGTTTTCTAGTTTTCAAGGATCTAGTAGCGAGAAAATATCTTGGATTGGCTTCTTAATTAGCAACATGATTTAGAATATTCAAGGATGTGTTCGAGAGAAGGGGAAAGAAGAAAATTGAGAAGATATGCATAACGAGATAAACCATTAATGCATGATCTATTACATATTAATTATTTTAAACATAAAAATGATTAATATAATTTTTAAAACAATATTTTTTTTATTTTTTCTAAAAAAACACATTGTTAGTAGTTTGGTAAGTCTGAGCGCAGGACACCAGCTATTTCTCGTATCGTTCAAATAATCTGCTTTGGGTGTGTTTAGTTCACACTAAAATTGGAAGTTTGGTTGAAATTAAAACGATGTGATGTAAAAGTTGGATTGTTATGTGTGTAGAAAAGTTTTGATATGATCGAAAAGTTGAAAGCTTGAAAAAAAATTTTGAAACTAAAGTCAGCTTTATTAGTACTCTGCTGATAATCTGAATCTGCAGCTTAAGGTGACCTATGTGCTTGCTCTTGCCCGCCGCCAACAGGAGCTACTCCTACTCGACGTGTGCATCCTTCTCCTGCGCCTCAACAACAGTATTGATTGAGGGTGTTTTTGATTCATGGTCATGTATGGATAGGATATAGCCATCTATATTTTATTGAATATGGTGATTTAATTTTCTGTTTGGTTTGTATGGATATGGCGATCCAATTTCTTGTTTGGTTCGAGGGATATAGCATAGATGAGAAAAGCCAAAAGTTAGTAGGACCCATTTGTCATATATATATATATTTATCAAAATATAATCATCCGAGATCTTGTTTTAAAGATTTAATTACAAATATAATGGTGTAATCAAATCATAAATTAGATAAATGGTTTAGAAGAAAAAATCATTTGGAGCTTGCTTAAGAGGACAACCACAGCCAATCGGAATAGGACACTTCACCCAGTCCAAAACTGGATGGCTTCATCCAGCCAAATCGGCCGGATGCACTCATCCAGCATAGTAAGGGAATACTCTCTATTATGTACCGTCTCATCCACCCTGACCTCCAACCAAACACCACAGAAACTCGAGCGGTCATCTCCCATCCAGACTCATCCACCCAACCAAAATAACTGATGCCGACCATGTAAAGCAGCTTAGCAGCGACGCTCTCGTTCTCGCTGGGTCGGTTGGTGCGTCACGGTGCGAGAACTCCGGGCGGGGATGGCCCTGGGCGTGCTGGCCGAACGGCGCGGGAGGTGGCTTGGTTGGGCCTACTGAAGCTGCTCGGTCGTCAAAGCGAGCGGCGCGACGAGGTGCGATTCAGGCACCGAGCACATTTCGAGCGCACACGTGCAACATGCTTGCCAGGCTGCCTAGCTGGGCCGGCCTGGGAGGAAGAATGGAGTACATTTGGAATAAGTTCACTTTAGATCCCTCAATTTGTCATCCAGTCTGATTTTTATCCCTGAACCGCAAAACCGGATACAACGCATCTCCCAACTTACAGAACCATTGCACATAAGGTCCTAAGGCGGTTTGGATGGCGGTTTTAGCTGACGTAACGCCTATGTGGCTAGTTTGACTTTGTCTTTGTCCTACGTGGCAGTGACATGGACTGGAAGTAAAATGTAAATTTTTAAAAAATGTGGGTCCCACATGTCTGTCATACAAAACATAAAATTAGTGGGGCCCACATATCAGTCAAACAAAACACAAAAAAGGTGAGGCCCACATGTCAGTGGGTCCCACATGAGCAGGTGGAGGAGATGCCATGGGGAGACACCCCTGATTTCCAGCTGCATGTAGCCGAGGAATGTTAGAAGGGGTCGGAGAGACTTCTACAGGTTGTCGAGCACAATCTCGGCGGTAGACTTGATCGGGGATGTTTCCGGCGGGAAGAACAGGTCGTGGATCTTCACAAGGACGAAGAAGGGTATATGGTTCTCCAGGAGGTAGAACACGTCACGGATGTGCTCGATGTTGTCCTGCGCGCACATCTCGCCGCCGGAGGAGCTGCTTCCTCCCCCGAATCTGCCGATACCAAAGCAATGGAGGATGTAGAACCCATCGACCAACAACAGTTTCGACGGCGTCAGGTCGTCGAACTTATTGGCGCCGTCTGCGTAGTATCTCCTCACTTCGGCAAGGAAGTTGGCGGCGGCGATCTCACCCAGGTAGCGGTGCAGCGTGGACCGCTGCTCCTGCTCGTCGCCGGGGAGGGCGCCGTGGAGCGCCGCAAGCTTCACGGGTTCCATCCGCTGGTCGGGATTGCGGTGGTAGGGGCCGACGAGGATCGAGTCTTGGGTGTACTGGGAACTGTCGACGTTGCGAATGCCTCTCTTCACCATTGAGATGTGGTACTCTGAAGAAGGGACGATTCCCTTAACCTTCAAATCAAATTGCGCATGCTCTCGTACAAACCCTCAACCAATGCCTTCATGTCGATGATTGTTTGCGGATTGGGGTTTCCTGCAAATCAAATTAAAAGAGCCCGTTGCTACCATTTTAGACCAGAGAGGCAGAGACTATCTAATGATATTTACTTATATACTATTTACATCGTCAGATTTTTTTCTTTTTCACAATAATATTATTGAACGTCTACAAATTATATGGTAAACTATTATATATACAACAAATTAACGCTTGGACACACTGAGAGATAAGAGTTAGCACGGGCATTTTAAAATTGAACAAGTGAATGTTATTTTCAACCCTCCCACCCCCTCCCCCCCTCCCCCGGGCTTAACCATAGAAGTCAAAAGTTCATCATGTACAAACGTAGACGCTCATAGCGCGTCATGTTAATTATAGCCACAAGTCATGCTTTTTGTTCCTTGCGTAATTTCTGTGCATATGTTTTCAGGCATATCATTAACATCTGATATAACCACAACGTCATTCATTTTATCATAAGACCACATATAAAAAAATATAAATTCCTTTTGGAATACTATACTTTGTTGGATTATCACAGTACATATTTTTAGGATGTGTCACTATTTTAGTAAAACTAGATATGTATCCTGCGCTATTGCACAGACCCTGCTATTTTTCTAAATGTTAAATTGTTTTTTGGTAACTAAAATTTATTAGTAATTACATATTTATATCCGATACGATTTTTTATATATAAGGCAATCATACGTCATTTAATAAATCCATCGAGGCTTGCTTGCAGGGGAAGAATTGGAGTTCTTGTTTGCATGCATCAAGTTTAATATATACTACTAAAATTGAGATCTTAGATAATACAAACTAATTATTATTTGAAATTTGTTTTTTCAATGTTTTCCTTAGCGACTAGCGCATGTCTCATGGCTGATAGTGGTACCTAATTGGTTGTTCATAACATTAATATCAATTCCAATAATTTTAACTAGATATGGAGCTCCTCGGCCCTTTTCAAATAAAGATGATACTAATAATAATATATAGATATACAAAGTTCAAAAAAGGTTTAGTCATCACAAATTAGTTGTCAAGGGATTCCATTGTTGTCATGTGTTGGTGGCTCGTTGTGATCTTTGCTGGACTCATGTAGTATTGTGGTTGGTTGACTAGAAACCTAATGCAACTTGACCCTAGTCATCGTCTTCTACAACCCTACTCTCCTTGTGACGGCTTAATACAAGCTTGCACGATACCTGTATGTTTTTTTTTTCTCATAACACACTTGTAAGACTTCTTTTCCCTCAGTATGATGGTCTAGCTATAACATGGGAAAACACATACAAATTAAGCCATATAAATTATCCGACAGGAAATTTCATACAAGTTAAGTGTTTGTTATTCTACCTTTTTAAAGAATATATAGTGTTATTATCTCAAATTTATTAACGGCTTTAAGAAATTTAGTAGGAGGGTTATATAGCAACGTTTAATGTGTTTAAAAATTAATAATTTATAACTATATGCAAATAAAGTTATATAGGGTGATATAATCATTGTTGTCAATCATCATATATATAACTTCGTATACCTACATAACTAAGCCGTGCCGGGGAAAATTGAACCAAAGTGATAGTCGAAAAAGTTACTATGCCATTATAAAATTGTAATAAGCAAAAATATCAAAACAACTTTCAAGTGTTCTTACTTTTATTTATTATGAATATTTTTTTAATATATAACTTCAATCCTCTCTTAGGTCCAATCTGTTCGGTCATATCGGGCTCGGTGATTGCTATACAATTATACAATATATTTTATTAATTGATTTGTACTTTTTATGATCGATTGTTTTGATGGCATGCACATAGCTAGAATATAACTCGAGTAACACATTTTTACAACTTAAAACATAGTTAATATGGATATTAAATTATTAATTTTTTTATCTCATCTAACCAAGAAGGAAAAAGAACAAAAAAGATGGTACGTACATAAACACGTACGTGCACATCCACATAAGGGAGATGGGACCATTTCTCCGTGTGGTTTTTAAGATAAATCTAATTAGAAAATCTTAAAACGGATCTAAGTGGTAGCTACAAAATAGGAGAAGTTAGCTACTGATCCCTTCATCCAAAAGTACATATTTCTTTTTATCACCAAGATATGTAATTAACTCATCCATCATGTGATAAAACCAACGAACTATACACATGCATGCAACCAAGAATAGATACTGATATGACTTCTTAGGTTTCGGTCAAAAATTTAATTTAGCATGTAGAGATTATAAATAGTTCTTAGACTTTCTAAAAACAAAAAAAATATATTTCTTAATCTTTCGGATGGAGGAAGTAGAAAATAGGGAAGGGGAGAGTTGGAGGGTGGCCGGAGGGTGGGGGCAGTAAGTACTTGCACAACCAGAAATTTTTTTTCCGATAAAGATCTATTGGTTAAAATTAATGGGTCCACCAATTTAAGAAAAAATCAATGGTTATATATTTATCATACCTTTTTCTAATTTACTAGAACATCATGTGGTGGCTTATTAGGAGCGTTTGTAGAAGACCATGACGGTTTGAAAGCGTTTATGCATGGGAAGTTTAATGGACTTTTAGTATATAATAAATAGATAGATGTGAGATAATAATTATAAGGCCACCCAAGACCATACGCTAGTCATACGCATGCCAACACTGCAAAAATAAATTAACCTACCATCCATGGTGTTAACAAATAAATAGCTTTAATATATAGCGCGTAGGAATGAAAACAAACGATCGATATGCGATAAATATAAGAGAACTAGATATAATCATACTATATGTTTATGTAATTTCAAGACATGTAACGTCCAAGACTCCAAGCGCTTGGCTGATGACAAACAAAGGAAGTTCGAGTTCGCTTGTACGAATAATGGCAAATTAGCAAAACCATTGACATAATATTAAGAGATGACCAAAGATGATGGAGAACTTTCCGAAAATTGAACAAATTTAACGAAAACATTTGGCAGCAAATTTTGTTAATAACTACGTAACTGATATATATATCATGGACGTGGAACACTACATTCATAAATAAGAGATAATATAATTAATGACGAGATGTATGCACGATCTACACGTAAGTACCTTCCTCCATGAGTGACCTCTAGCCAGCTAGTTTCTGGAGCTCTAGCACTTGCTTCCTTGTACTCCGATCTGATTTGCCTCTGCGCATGTAATACCGTGCATGCGTTCTCGCTCTATATATAGAGTGTCAGCAGCTTCCATCTCTTGCAACCAAACTAGCTACTCTTAATTTCCTTCTCATTTCATTCCCGACAAGCTCGGAGAAACAATAAACTAGCGCATGTGTGTCATCCACTATCCAAAGCATTTGCCTTTCCGTATGGAAGACGAATTAAAATGCAAATTTTATGCAAAAGCAAAATAATTGAAGTTGCTTTACCTCTTTCCATTTGTAATTGAAATTAATTAATGATTAAAGCAATACCGTTAAAGTAGGTCAATTACGTACCACACCATTCGCTACTACTACGGTTTTATGTTTTAACAGGTACATTTTCTGTGTGTACTACTTCCTTCGTGCTCTCACTTATTCTGAACATGCATTTTTCCTTCATTTGGTAGTCTGGAAAAGCTAGCTAGCTTCCTAATTGGAAATGTGAGCATCACCAACAAAATATTTATATCATTCCCTATCCAAAAATATGAGGATTTATATATGTTAAAAATTTGCTCCAACATATTCTCTAATCTCATTCCTTATCCCGGGATTATCGTTCTCTTTTTCTAAGGAAGCATTTTGGCTTCCAATCGTGGCACTTCACGTGCAGGAAGAGATTGCACACGTGATCTAGCATGAGCTGGCGTGAGGAAGGAGAGCAAAATATATTTTTTTTCCGGTGAAGATTTTATCTTGGCCCACCTTTTAAATTATTAGGAAACCAATTTTACCTAATCTCTTGGAGAGAGGAAAATTTTAACACCTTAAATTATTATTAGGATTCCCATAATAAAGAAATTGGGAATGAAATTTTAGGATGCTGTTGGTCATGCTCTAACTTGCTTGGTGAGCATATATTAAAGTTTACCCATCTATAAAATCAGACAATAATGCCCCTCCCGGCTATCACATACTGGGTATATGTAGATCAACCCTATTTTCCTAAGTGTGAAAAAAATATCAAAAAATAAAAAAAATTGCACATCTCTCTCTCCTCTACACTAGAGATGACAAAAAAAATAGGGGGGGGGGCAGCCACATTGGCGCACTCCCCTACCACCTCAATGTCGACACGCTATGGTGGCAGGAGGATGGCGCCAGAGAGGCTGGTGCTGTCCTGTTGGACGACGGCGCCAGCGACTCTAGCTCCAAAAAAGAATCTTTTGTGTGATAAGTTTTTTTAGGGGTCTATTTGCGAAATAAGTTCTTTAAAAAGAACAAATTGTGAAAAATCCTGTTTTCCTGCATGGTGATTTTTTACTATATACAGAAAATAGCATTCCCCAATACTTAGTCTTTAAAATGGTTTCAATAAAACAGATGGAGAATTGATATTTCTTGATGTCCAACAGTTGGAGACCTTGATCCATTTTTTACCCCCCGTCCAATGCCGCCTCTATGTTCTCTCTCTCTCTTGCATAGTAGCTAATATACTAATGGTGATATATATTAATTAGATACTTGTTGAATCATTTACTAAATATATCTATTGCTTCAAAGAAACGTTAGTGATTTTTGTTTCCAACAGTCACGTATAAGCCTTTTCTGTGGATGTGTTTGCGTTTTTGCATCTGAATCATCTAGTTTTCGCCGACAAGGCACCCAAAAGCAAGAGTGTAAAAAATAATTACTAATAAGTAAAAATCCTTCTGTTTGTATGTCAAAATTGTAAAAGCTGCAGTGAAATGAGCATAGCTCAATTAGTTGCCTACCATGCATGGTTCAAGTCTTAGACTTGATATGAATATTCGAATTTACGATCAATTATTCTTTTAGTGGTAGGTAATGTACCCGTTAACACTAATATGTGTCTATCATGACTTTATAAATATCAAGGCATACCAGCTCAATCTTTTGAAGATTTTTACTATTGGGGTAGGGTATACGTGTCTACGTTGAAAATGGTGAGCGTGAGTGCGTTGTGGGCGTCTGCATTTGTATTTTGTTTAAAAGAAATACAAAAACCGCCATTAAAACCATATTTTACTACCTAAGCTATTCCAGCTGGTTTTAATAAAGGGTGCACAATATCTAATTTCATAGTTCTACGCTCGATCGGGAAATAGTTGAGAAGGTTAATTAAAATGAACTTTAACTACTTTTAGTAATTAAGTTCTAACCCATGCATGTACAAATGTGTGCATGTTCGCCGCTTTTTCCAAAAGCTAACGGAAGTTTAGATGCAAAATTTGTTTAATTAAGGCAAATACTTTACAATATATTTATTACTTTAAATTTAATATGGCGTGTGCTTTTAATTAAGTCATATGAAATTGAAAGGGCTAGTTTTGGGGATACTATACTACACCTTTCCAGTGCACTGGTGAATAAATCAATATTTAATTCGACCGGACAACTAGGATTTATATAATTGTTATTTTGATGTACCAGTGTGTAAGATTCTCTCCTCCGTGTGCCATTTGTTGTGGGTTGGTTGGTGACTGTGCGTGAAAACAGTCGAGTGTGCTACTTAGACGCTGCCGTAGTTACTATCGTATCGGATATTTGGACACTAATTATAAATATTAAACGTAGACTATTAATAAAACTTATTCTATAACCCTGGACTAATTTGCAAGACAAATTTATTGAGCCTAATTAATCTATGATTAGCCTATGTGATGCTACAGTAAACATGCGCTAATTATAAATTAATTAGGCTTAAAAAATTTATCACACGAATTAACTCTCATTTATGTAATTAATTTTATAAGTACTCTATGTTTAATACTTTAAATTCATCCGATATGATAGGGACTAAAATTTAGTGCCTCGATCCAAACACCATCTTAGCTAACACTACTTACGGTTCGACGACGTGCATCTAAAACAGAGAGTAAATTTTAAACAACAAATCGATAAATGTAAGCTACGAAAATAGTGCATGCTGAAAGCTCTTCACCAGTGCTAATAAAGATCTATCTTTAGTCCCGGTTGGTAAGATAAAAAAAAAACTCTATCCTTTTGAACCGGGACTAAAGATATCTTTAGTCCCGGTTTTTATTGCAACCGGGACTATTGTGTATTTTGGCCGACCGACCAAAGATGGTTTCTCCACCAGTGATTGTTCCATGCGGCAAAATATCAATTTTTGCATCTGGACAAACGATCCGCATTCACCCAAAATCTGAAAATCGGATCTTTGCAATTTACATGCGAAAATCCGATTTTCAAAATAATGTTTTCAAGACATGGGGATAGACAAAGCAGGTCATTGATGTATATAAATACAATGTTTTATTTTGTCCAATCAAAATATACCATGTTTTGTTTTAAAAATAAGACCATGCGAATATTCGATGAACATGTTGGCCACTTGATAACCGTGTCATTTGGGTCTTTACAAGGTTTCATGGATTGATCATTACTTCAACCTTTGCTTTATTCGCGTCTTAGTTAATGGGGGAACGTATCATGTGAAAACCAGGGAAGCTGTGCAAACTTGCAAACTCTCAATCAACACCACATAATCACCATCTGATGGCTAGGGATAGAGGTGGGCTAATTTTGCACTTAAGCGCCCACCATTAGCCATACTAATCTTGCTTTTTTCAAATCACCTCCTCCCCTAATCCCCAGTGCGCACGCTGCCTGTTCGTTTCTCCCGTCCCGTCCACGAGTTGCCCGTGAGTCGCTGCCACCGTCGTCCGCGTGTCGCCCGTGAGTGGCTGCCGCCGTGGTACGCGAGTCGCCGCCGAGCTGGCCCTCAAGTCACAGCCGCACGCCAGCGAGTCGGCATGGAGTCCTCGCCCACAACGCCAGCGAGACGTTTTTCAATGTTTCACAGTTTCAGTGCTGATCAGTGCTTAGAAAAAACAGCATGAATGTTTCAGTGTTTTAGTGATTGTAAACACCTTGTAAAAAATCTGGTAGAAGCAACTGAGATACAATTTTTCAATGTTTCAGTGTTTCAATTTCACACACAATTGCTGAATCATTAAAATACACAAGTTCATTACATAGGAGGCACCATTGCTGAATCACTAAAAAAATCAGCATGAATTTTCAATGATATGAGTCTTCTGGTACAAACAACTGAGATACAATTTTTCAATAAATTTTACACACAATGCTCCACACACAAGTTCATTACACAGGAGGCACAATTGCCATTGCAGAGCCATTTTTTCAGGCATTACAGCCCCAGACGAGGACGCCCTTTTGTTCAGGCACAATTGCCATTACTCAGTTTCTGATCCAGTACTGACTGAAGCCGTGGCAGGACTGCCCTTGGGTGCCTGCTACACATGTGTGACAATAGCAAACCACTGACCATGAACCTTGAGGTACTCATCCTGCCACACATCGAGCCTGACCTGTAGGAAGTTGTCGTGCTGCCTCTCACTCCTGATGGAGTCCTAGTAATCACTGGCAGTGAAGCCCCTTCTCATTTTTTGCTGGTGATGCGCAGGTGCCGGTGAAGCGTTGCTGCCGATGATGATGCGCCACGCTGCTGCCCATGGCTCCAATTCATGCCCTACAGAACTGGGCAGAGGTGCCACCATCGAGGACATCCTGAACTGGACCACCACCGTCGAGGACATCTCCCTGGCGGCCGCCAGCAAGGCCACCTCCGACCACCACTGCATGGCTGGCGCAGCCCAACGCGGGACTCATGAGGCGGCGCGGCTGGGTCTGAGATGGCGTGGCGGATCATAGTCGGCGACTGGATCGCAAGTCGTGGGGAGACGATACTGGCGTAGGGGCTCGGGTATAAAAGTCATGGGAGGCGGATGGCGCAAGGGGTGTTTTGCAAAATAGACAGAGGGGCTGGCGGGCGGTTATTTGCAAATTTAGCCCACCTCTATCCCTAGCCATCGGATGCTCATCCTGTGGATGTGATCGAGAGTTTCCAAGGTTGCACAGGCTCCCTGGTTTCCACCTGATATGCTCCTAGTTAATGAACTACAAAGTAGCTAGATTAGTTTTTATTTTTACCCATAAGCACCTGAGGATGTTTCATATTTCCACGTTCCCAAATTAA